TCAGGAATAGAGAAACAAGCCTCGTTCTCACCTGTAAGCAGGAACTAAGGAGGGGTATAGTCAGAAAGGGGGGAGTGAATGCTAGAAACCTCCGAGGGAAGAAGGGGAGGTTGGGAGGGGGTTCAAGGGACAGGAACCCATCTGCTGGACTCCACACACAGCACTCTGGTGGTGGCAAACTGACAGACTTCAGCATGACACAATTCTCTATGTCTCCCCGGACAGGCTCAGGCGTCAGCATCCCCTGCACGGGGGACTGATAGGCCAACTGAAATGTGCTTGGTGAGGGGCTGACTCAGGACTGCTTTTGGTGTTCTCCACTCTTAGCTCTATAAGAGCATTAAAAATGTTCCAAGTAGGTTGATTACAGAGCCCTTGGTCATGTTCTAGTAAAATACTCTTTAGATAAAATAAAGCTGGATTATATTTATTCTTAGAGCCATCAAGTTAATAGCAGTTAATTTAATTTGGCTGCTATTTTTCTTTTCTCAATAAATTAATATGAACCACATAAGCTGTCTTGTATGTTTCTCATGAGAAAATGTTAAATACAATTTCACCCAAACAGCAATATCTGCAAAATAACAAAATAACATTATCATAATGCCATCGCTCTTGAAAAACTTCTTTACAATTTTAACAAATGTGTTGCATTTCCTGTGTCAAGATCCATTTATAACAATCTACTTTGTACTTTTTGAGCAGGTTTTAAACATTCTCAGACTTTTTGACTTTACTATTCTGCAAGAAAGCCTCACCAGAGCATTATAGGGAAGATGGGTCAATGTTCCATTTGTCAGCTTGAAGACAGTAGGCCAAAGACGTGTTTCTTCTTTTTTAATCGTGTGGAATGATTGCATTTTCTTATTTCTTATTAGTTATAGTTAAAACTTTAAAGCAAGGAAAATATTGGAACCGTAAAAGAACATTCACTGTAAGCATTTACAAAATTAGCTTAATCAAAACTTTTTAAGATTTCTGCATGGCAGTGGACTTCTATAGCTTTATTTATAAAATATGCTCTACTAAGGCATTAAAAAGGGCAAAGAGAAAAACAAATATTTTGTGCCTCAATAAGGTTCAAAATCTTTTGCTGCTTCTCATCTTAAAATATGGGATGGATTTTTTTATTTACACCATATTAAGGCTTTACATTATTTCGTCTATTTAGTGTGGAGGATGAGAAAAGGGTGGCATAAGGAGTGAATTTAGGAAGCAAACTTTCCACCGAGTGTTTAACCAGCTTAGCAGACTTTTCTACACTAAACTCATTCTTCATTTCCTTAAAAATAGTTGAATATAGTTTTGGGTGAGTTGTCTTAATGGTAAAACTGGTTTGGTATAAACATATACTTTGCCAAATGCCATGTGGGTTTAACCTTCCTTACATTTTTTAAATGTGGCAAGGGGAAACTGATGTGGCAATAGTCATTTTAACTTCAGTGATTTCTAGGTCTGCAACATTACTGACCAGTGAGCCTGCATAGATCAGGTTACAGCAGAGGAGAAGAGACCAGACTGGACACTGGGCACCTGGACTTGTCCCCCACTAGCTGTGACTCACTGTAACCTGATACATATTCTTAGGGCTTCCTTGCTGTAACAGCTGTGATTCTAGTATAAATTTCAAGCATCTGTAATAAATTGATCTTTCATTTCCATGATTGCATGAAAGAAGGCCTCACACTTTCCCCTCTCTGTCCAACAAACATATTAACAAAGAAATACGTTTGTTCAGCGGAAAGGGTAGATTCCTATTAATATAATTTTGTTGTTATTCTTATGAATCATGCAGATTTCATTAAGAGATGGCTAACTAGTGGCAAAAATGTAGGCCCAGCCTTGTTCTGGCATCATATACTAACCCTTTAGTTTTCATGGCACCAAATTCCCTTATGATTCCACAGGGGCTGTGTCCTGTGTTACTTATCATCAGCCTAATAGATTTGACTTGTTTTTTTTAAATGAGTCAGATAAATTGTAGGATTTTTCTAAAGAAAAGAAGTGAACATTATTATAGCGTCACTACACAGTAGGCAAAACTTGGATTTTTTTTATTTTTGTTTTTAACCACAAATATATTTACAAAATTCACAATGTAATAACAATGTCAATACTGTTAAAAAAAAAAAAAAAGCAAACATTTTTACAATCTTAATGCATTTCCAGCATCACTTATACTTATTTTGGTTCTCAATAATATACTTTTCATTTTGGAGGCCAAGTTTTAAACATCCTTTGAGTTTTCAACTTTATCATTACTTGTCTGGAAAGCCTCACAATGCCATGAGGTAGACAGCTGAATGCCCCATTTGGCAGATGGTAAATAGCAGGTAAAAAGTATTACAGAATTTCTGTGAAACACTCAATAGGTCAGAAAAAACTGAATAAGATGTATAAATTCTGTTAAAAATCCACTTTTCTCGTTGTTAGGTTTAGTTACAGCCTTTTGTATTTGTCTTATTTGTGTTAAAATGTCATTGAATTGAATAGAATTAAGCATTGAAATATTTAAATCAGTATACATAGTTTCACAGATACTTACAAAAAGGCATCACAGTCTCATGAAACAAATAAAATCACACAAAAGCATATATTGACTGGTACAGGACTTACATAGAGGAACAAGGTTTCTTCTTGGTAACTAGATTTGCTTTCCTGTATCTATTGAAGGAGATGTTTGATAGTAGAAAGCTCATCATCATCAGGGCCACCTCTAACATACTAAGTATTCTCAGAATGCTTCAGATACTTCTGTGCAGATTCAAGCTGTAGGAGTTGAAGTTAGTTTAAGGAAGGATACACTTCCTTAATTTAAGTTTTTACTCTGTTTTTTTATTCCTGGTGTTATTAGTTACTACTAGTCATCAACTCAGAAATTTGATGATGTTTCCTTTTTAAAAGAGAAGTGTGTATGGATGACCCATGTGTGTTTATGGTATTTTGGTGAGATATAAATAATAGCAGGTAGTTCTTTAATTTTGTTTATCTTATATACATATGTTACATACAAACTCACATACATGTAAATTAAACTCCATCACTAAAGAAATGGATGGGCCAGATTCTTCGTGGATAAATCAGAGCAACAATCACAGGCCTCACATGTGAGGTGTGGTGGCCAGCGTTGCGAGCGTCTCTGCAGTCACCACCACAGTGACCGATGGCCACGCCAGGCTGTGCCTGCTTGTCTGCAAGCACACAGCTCAAAACACATTAATGGGACAGAAAAGTGACATTGAAATTCTAGTAGTTCACCTAAATTGTTTTCTACAATGTAATTCAAAGAATTTTGAAACCAATTACATGGCTTTAAAGAAGTAAGGGGCAATGTTTTAAAAGTATAGTAAGTGTTACTGGGTCCAAAGCACTTTAACAGAGACCAACAGCAGCTAGTCCATCCTGAGAGGCCCTCAGTGCAGATGTGGCCGCATGCCTGGTACTTGCGTTTGAGCCTCAAAGCAACCACGCGAGGTGGGACCATGTTGATTCTCAGGGCAGTGATGGAAGAGCTAATGCTGAGATGCTGAGTAACTGGCACAAAACGCACAGCTTGTGCAAGAAACGGTGATGGAGTTCCTACCACCATGCCACCACCAGGCTTTGGGCTGTATTTAAACCCCAATTCATACACTGTTTTGACAAAATTGAACTTGTTGACCTTTTTTTCTTTTTTTGAGACAGAGTCTCATTCTGTTCCCTGGGTAGAGTGCTATGGTATCATAGCTCATAGCAACCTCAGACTCCTGGGTTCAGGTGACCCTCCTGCCTCAGCCTCCTAAGTACCTGGGACTACAGGCACCTGCTACAATACTGGACTAGTTTTTCTATTTTTAGTAGAGATGAGGTCTCACTGTTGCTTAGGCTGGTCTTGAATTTCTGAGCTCAAGCGATTCTCCTGCCTTGGCCTCCCAGAGTGCTGGGATTACAGATGTGAGTCACTGTGCCTGGCTGACTTTGTGGACCCTAAAACTTGCTGAAGCATTGATTCCCATATAGAAAATATTTATTTAGTGTCTAGTATATGTCAGGCACTGTCCCAAGGGTTTTATACAAATCAGCTCTCCAACCTTTAGAAATTTGACCTCTCAGAAAGTTGAGGACTTTTAAAAGTGCTAGTTACCATATGCTGAGGTAAATGTCTCTAAATAAGTAATTGGACAGCTCACTCCACCAAAAATTAGAGTGGTTGTCCTGTTGGTAATCATCTGAAGCTGGCTCTGCCAACCTTCACACCCTTTTTATCCTCCTTATACTCATGTAAAAGTGCTTCCAAGAGTCTTCCTTTTCTGTCTCCTGGATGAATGCAATTTATGTCTGACTGGCACAATGTTGCTGAAGAAAAAAAACAGAGAAGTACTTCTTAGAACCTGCTTCCTGAGGCCAGTGCTTGCATGTGTAGTACAGTGTTGACAGCAAATGTAGATACACTTAAACATTTTTCTAATGTCAGTTCTTGTGGATAATCATAATGCTCTGTGTTGCTAGCTATAAGCCCATGTCACATTGTGAATGTCGGAGTGCCACCTTCTCTGTCCTGGCCATTAAATGTCCACGTATCAGCTCTAGAACGTGAAGCCCTGAATCCTCGGGAAACATTGCTCTGAGATTTTCACAGGCAGCATCCCTGGGACTCCAGGCATCCCTGAGGTTAGATTTTGGCAGCCCTGGCAGCTCTTCATATCCTGTAGAACGTGATGCTCTTGTCATCCATGCAGGGAAAGTGCTGTCAAGGTCTTGCCTCACCAGGGAGTGCCACAGCAGTTTCCTTGGTGGGTGAGGAACTGGTACTGTGATTCTCTGTTCTTTCTTCCCTCAGGGATGAGAGGAAGTTTGGTCATCTGTATATGAAGGCCATCTCATGGCACTAGGTTTGGCTGGGTCCGAAGGGTTTCTTGACATCCAGCAGAGCATTTATCCCAACCACATGAGCATAATTAATAAATAGTGTGCAGGAGCCCCAATTCCAGGTGCCGCAGACGACCCCTGGACGGTCCACCCTAGATGCCTGTTTTTGAGGTGATCCAGTCTCGGTATTTAGTCACCTTCGTGTAGACTCCAGGTTTCTTAGGAAGAGCACATGATTGTCCCCAACTTACGATGCCTACAATGTACCAAATGTCATGGTTGTCATAGACCAGAGGCCCACCAGAGTCACCCTGCAATGAAAACAAGTACATGTTTGAAATTGTTGACTCTAATTCAGTAGATGGGTCATTGTAATTACCCATCTTGCATAGAAAATAAAAGGGAAATTGGTACCCAGAACACACAGCCAGACTGTAAGTAGAGCAGGTTGCCATTCTCTCAAGTGAGTTAGAAGTTGGTGCTAAATTTTAAAATGCATTGCTTTTGTTTTCTTAGCAAGGTTAACATTCACATGGAGTATTTGTAGTTTAGCACCCTCAGGATTTTTGCTGAGGTGAAATGCAATATGTATAAAATGGTGATGAAGACAAGGGGTGTAGCCTTCAGAGGAGAGTTTCCTCTGTCTTTTGCTTTTATTTTAAAAAATAACAATAGAGCATAAAAATAATTTTGTAAACCAAAAATAGGAAACAATGGATTTTAATCTTCTAATTTGTAAAATAGGTGCAATTATAACAGTGCTCTTATGTCAATATGTTAAATAAATAATGTTTAAAAGGTTGTCAGATTTCAGCTTGGCACATACTAAACACTCAATACAGTATTTTGTGTTGTTTTAATTATTAAATAAACTTAGCTTCTTGGTCAAATAGATGCCATTTCCTCCCCTCCCAGGTAAAATAGATGAGAAGCTTAGAATAGTGAACAGAAACTTTCCTTTCATCTCAGCACCCATATCTCAGTGGTTAGGGTGCTGGCCACATGCACCAGGGATGGTGGGTTCAAACCTAGCTGGGGCCTGCCAAACAAAAATGACAAAAACACCAAAAAAAAAAAAAAACCAGGTGTTGCGGTAGGTACCTGCAGTCCAACTACTTGGGAGGCTGAAGCAAGAAAATTGCTTAAGCCCAAGAGTCTGAGGTTGCTGTGAACTATGACACCACAGCACTCTAGAAGGGTGACAAAGTGAGATTCTCTCTCAAAAAAAAAAAAAAAAAAGCACTTTTCTCTCAATATTTTGGCCTTGACTTTGGACTAACCTTACATGCATCTACTTTTCCTTCCATGAATCCCGCACACAACATTCCTGGAGTGATGAGGCCGTCATACACGTCCTTTCTATTACACACATCAGTGCTTATGATTTCCACCTGGGCTTGGCGAAGTTTGTTTTGTGTGGGTCCTATTATACAAAGAAACAAATAAATAAACACATGGAATGTTTTTCCAACAGCAGAATCTAAGACATGGAAGATATGCTCTTATTTTCCTAGGAGCAAGAGCCCAAGATTCTTTTATTAACATTAGTTATCACCTAATTTTATTTTCTTTGTCATAAATGTCTACTTGCAAGGAACCATATAATATGCACACCCAGTAATATTTGTGGCTCTTTCAAGGCTATTGGAAACCTTAAAACTATACATGAAATATTATACACACGTATGCACATTTATTTTCCATAAGGAGAGGTCTATAGTTTTTATTTGATTCTCACAGGGTTCAGAACACTGAACTGCTATCCAACTGCTGTGTTTTCCAGGGCCCCCAGAAGTTCACTGATATTCCCAAAGCTACTCAAAGCTACGGCTACATGGACACTGCCCCCCACCCCCCGCCAGTGTGTTGCTCAGGGGTGTCACAGCACAGAGGTGAAATGCCTGCCTGGCGTATGCCAGAGGTCTGATGCCAGCCCAGAGCAGGGTGGGGGGACAGGGATTGTCCATGGGACACAGGAAAGAGCTCAGGGCTTTTGGTGAAGCTGTGGTTAGTGGCCCAGAGCAAGCAGTAGGGAAAGAGGATGAATAGAGACTTTCAAGAACCTCTCACAAAACCAAGTTGGACATGCATGGGGCATTTGGCAAGATTTTCATGTAATAGAATTTTGTCAAAAGAAAGTAAGTAGATGAAGATACGTGTTAGCACATCTAGCTTACTGGGGATATCCTTGACAGAACCCTAAGTGTCTCTTATTTCTCACTTTGAAACATTCTGTTAATTTCTCTCTTTAGAGCAGAGTGAGATAGTAACATAAAAATCTTAAATTTGGCTCTTCTGCTTAAAAATTTGTAGACTTGTGGCAGCATCTGTGGCTCAAAGGAGTAGGGCGCTGGCCCCATATACCGGAGGTGGCGGGTTCAAACTCGGCCCTGGCCAAAAAAAAATTCTTAGACTTGATGTCTCTTAACATGTCAGGAGGTAAGATGAAGGAAAAAAATACAGATTCTATTAACTAACCAAGATGAAAATTCTCAGAACATTCACAACCCATTCTCATGTTTATGTCCATTAAAAGTTCTCATAAATTGAAAGAGGATTGAAATACAGAAACAGCTGTCATGAGGACTGTGATTTAAAGTACATGCTGACCAGAAGCATGGACATCCCGGAGGCCACAAAGTGTCCCCACTTACTCCTGGCATTGCCACCGCTGCCACTCCCCCGGACACACACACTTTGTTTCTCCTCCTGTCACCTGCAGAGTCTAGTTGCGAACTTAGAGACCTGTGTTCTTTCACTCTGAGCCCACAGCTCCTTGTCCTACCCAGGGCCACACACCTTGGAAACATCACCATTACTTTTTTGAAAAGCTAAAGAGGAATTTCCTAAAACAATTAGCTGCATCTTAAGCCATTTTTGTGCTAAGAAAATCAGGTTGAGGGACATGTGAATCTTTCTAAATGTAGAATATAAATGTCTTAACACAATAACTAAGAAAATGACATGAAGGCTATGTTAACTAGTTTGATGAAAATATTTCAAATTGTATATAAAAACAGCACACAGTACCCCATGACAGTATTAATGCACACAGCTATGATTTAATAAAAATAATTAATTAATTTAAAAAAAAAAAGGAAAGAAAATCAGGTTGATACTACTCACCGTCATCTACAATGGACCCAAATCCTGTGACAAATACACTTGTTTTAGGTGGCAAGTTTGTAGAGGGATCTGGGAGGCAAACTCTCTGGACTATATTTGAAAACTCAACCCGGGTGGTCAGCTGAGCCAAAGCAATGTCATTTTCGTTGGTCTCTCTGTGGTAGTTTTCATGAACAATAATTTTCCCCACACTTCTTTTCACTGCAGGTGGTGTGATAGTTGTACCAAAAGTAGCAATCCACTGACTTGGGTCTTTATTTCTGCAGAAAATTAAAGGGTAAGATTTATGACGCTTAACTTTATTCTCAAAAAAAAAATTGAGACTATATTTCTCCTCAGCTATCAGGAATAGTCTCCTGAAATAGTCCTTTGGTAAGAAAATTTGCAGTTGATAAATTTATGGGAAAAAGAGTTCTTATAATTGATACAATTAATTGTGTATAATTACTTAATTAGTATGTTTAAATTCTAATTTTTTAGTTCCTTGCTTGCTAGCAACTCTTCAGGTTCTTTCTTTTATAATTTCAAGGAACTGTTAAGAAACTAATTTTTATTTGCTTCAGATAATAAGCAGAACTGAGCTGACCCTGAGTCAAGCCTTGCCCCACTCTCACTGCTGCCCCCTGAGTCCAGTCCTGCCCCATTCTCACTGCTGCCCTGGAGTTGAGTCCTGACCCATTCCCACTGCTGCCCCCATGTCAAGTCTGGTCTCATTCTCAGTAGTGCCCCCCAAGTTGAGTCCTGCCCCACTCTTGTTGTTGCCCCCCCAATGTCAAGTCCTGTCCCACTCTCACTGATGCCCCCCCAATGTCAAGTCCTGTCCC